GCAGCAGAAGCGGTACACAACAAAATGAGGATGATGATCAGAGAGGTTGCACCTAGAGGACCTTGTACCGGTTGCCCCTTGCCGGCAGATTAGAGTTGGACTGCGAAGGAGGAGAAGAAAAGTATAAGTAAACAACAAACAAAGAGACAAACATCGCAGATAAAGAACTTACCATCTTGTGGAGCTCCTCCTTGATGAGGCGGACAATCTCCGCTCTGGCCAGCGACACCGCCTTCTCATTGGTCGCCTCGATGGCCAGGTAGAGCTTGCGCTCGCCCGCCGGCGGCTCCTTGCCCTGCGGATAGTACGTCCCGCGGACGGTGATGCCCGCCTCGCTGAACTCGCTGATCTGCGCAATGGCCTCCTTGCTGGTCACCCGCCACCGAGCCTGCTGCGGAAAGTCGTTGATCTCCAGCTCCTGTTCGATGCGCTGAGAGACGTTCGAGCTGCTGCTGCCGCCGAGGCCGGAGCCGCCTGCCAGGCCGCCCATACTGCCGCCACCGCCGCCCAGTCCGTCGGGGCCGGCGCCCATGTCGACGTCCATGGAGTCCAAGAGGCCGCCACCGCCGCCACCCACTCCCAGGCCACGACGGCCGACCAGCTCGCCGCTGTCGTTGTAGTCACTGTCGCGGGGAATGTAGTTCAGTTTGGCGTGCAGCCGCTCCGCCCGCTGCTCGGCAATCGACTTGGCCGTCACCGCCGAGGTGATGTCGCCCAGGGAGTAGGTGTCGCCCTTGAGGATCGCTTCGGTGTGCGCCGTAGCGGAGGGGTAGTTGCTGGTCAGGGAGCTGCCAGTGGAGGAGGAGGAGGCGGCAGAGGCGGAGAGGGACGCCGATGAGGGCAGATTAGGTATGGACAGGGCAATCTTAGAGGCCATCTGCTTCGCCAGCTCCATCTTCTCGGCGATGGAGCGCTCAGGCTGAGCGTTTGAAACAGGAAGGGCTGTGCTGATGGAAGCTCCGGCTCCTGAAGCTGAAGAGGCAGCAGCCAGGCTGGCGTTGATGCTTGCTGCTGCGGCCGCCGCAGCCGCTACAGCAGCCGCCACCGAGGCCGAAGGAGTGACGGTCGGCGTCGAAGGCCCTGCTGCAGCTGATGACGAGCTGCCGCTCGCACTGAGAGCGGCGGCAGTGGCCGCGGCTGCTGCAACAGCTGCCGCCGCTGTAGCAGCCGCAGTGGCANAGCGTCGAAGGCCCTGCAGCAGCTGATGACGAGCTGCCGCTCGCACTGAGAGCGGCGGCAGTGGCCGCGGCTGCTGCAACAGCTGCCGCCGCTGTAGCAGCCGCAGTGGCAGTTCCCTTCTCAGCCTTCTTCTTCGGCGCGAGCATATTCTCAATCTCCTGGTCAATGTCCGCATCGGTCTTCTCCACCTCCTCATCATCGGAGTCGTTCAGTCCCAGAGCGGCCTTCTGAATGCGCTTCTTCTCAATCGCCTGCTGCGCCTCTGCCTCGTCAAACTTGAAGCCCTTGCCGCTGAAGCCGGAACTGGACTTGACCTTCTTCCCCATCGCCTCCTGCTCCACCTTGTAGTCATCAAAGAGCTTCTGCAGCTCTGTGGGCACCGGTATGCCGCTCTGCTCGTGCGCCTTGATCAGGTCCTGCGCGTAGCGGCCCTGCTCCGGCGTGATGAAGGTGTAGGCGTGGCCCTTGTTCCCGGCCCGTCCTGTCCGCCCACACCGGTGCACGTAGTCCTCGTAGTGATTGGGACAGTCGTAGTTCACCACCACAATGGTGTGCTTCACGTCCAGACCGCGGGCGGCCACCGAGGTGGCCACCAGGACGTTGACCTTGCCGTTCTTGAAGTCGCTGATGGTCGAGTCGCGGTCATTCTGGTCGATGCCGCCGTGCAGCGCCAGCACCGTGTAGGAGGCGTGCATCAGCTCCTTCAGCAGCATATCCGCATGCTCCTGCTTGTCGACGAAGACGATGGCGCTGCCCGCAGTCGCGTACTTGCCCAGCACTTCCAGCAGCTTGAGGAACTTGTCGTCCTCCTTGATGATCACCACATTCTGCTCCACCTCCTTCGCCACCACCGACCGCCCGCCCACCTGCACCTCGATCGGTTTGTCGAGGATGCGCCGCGCGAGCGCCTCCATGATTCGCGGAAAGGTGGCGCTGAACATGACCGTCTGCCGGTCGGGGCGGATCCCATCGATGATGCGCATCACCTGCGGCTCAAAGCCCATGTCGAACATGCGGTCGGCCTCATCGAGGACGACGTAGGTGCAGCGGCGGAGGTTGGTCACTCGGCCCGAGTTGGCCGCNGGTCGGGGCGGATCCCATCGATGATGCGCATCACCTGCGGCTCAAAGCCCATGTCGAACATGCGGTCGGCCTCATCGAGGACGACGTAGGTGCAGCGGCGGAGGTTGGTCACTCGGCCCGAGTTGGCCGCCAGCATGTCGATCATGCGGCCCGGCGTGCAGACGACAATCTCCGCGCCCGGCTTCAGGTCGCCAATCTGCTCGGAGATCGGAGTGCCGCCGTAGACGGCCACCACGCGCAGTCGGTTCTCCTTCGAGTCGCGAGATGAGCTGCCTGCATCACCTCGATCGCCCCTTCCCAAATGCGAGAGGTACTTGGTGAACTTGCGGCACTGCCCGTAGATCTGCGTG